TTTGGCAAAAAGTATTGAAAAGTTCTGAGCTCCCTCACTCAGGAAGTGATCACCAGCACTTTGTGCTTTGCTCAGGGTGCTGGACTTATGTGATTCGTTTGATTTTCCCTTCATTTCAGTTCTGAGATTACCCATGATGTGCTTCAGCAGGAAGTGCTGTTGGATATGAGCCACCTGGTCTTGTGGAAAGTGTCCCCATTCATGGCAAGTGGGTTGCAATGGGCTGTTCTTTGGCATCCCTTCCAATTCTAACCATTCTGTGATTCTGTAAAAGCCCCTGGTGGTAGGGATGACATGCTGTCCTTAGCAGTCCAGCCCTGCCAGCAGTAGTGGTGGTTTTGCTGCTAACTTGGATTTACTTACTTCAGTAAAAGTTTTTCTATGCCTGACCCCCACAGAAAATTGTGAGGAGCACATTCCTTCCCTTTTGCAGCCACTTTTTAACCAACTGGAAGACAATTATCACATCTGTTTTCTGTACCTCCCCTGGAAGTACTTCCTTAGTCCATAGACAGAAAAAAGTTGAAGGCCACTGCTCTGCACTAACCAATATTAAGCAAAGCTCTCATTCTCTGTGAATGCAGTTTGTGAAATCATTCCTGTTTTCTGGGCTTTCTTCTGAGTCTCAGCCTCTCTTTCCCAGCTGCAGTTTGCCATCCCCTTCCCTGGGGCTGAGTGCAGCCTCCTTTCTGCCTTCTGGCTTGATTTGCTTTTTTCTGCACTTCTGCACTGTTTACACAAAAGCAGTTCTGTCTCTCCTGATGCCAGTCTCCCCACAGTCCTGGGAACTGAGGCATAATCCTGCATCCCCTAGTGAAGCCATGGCATGTCCCCAGTCCTACACTCATTAGGGAGCTCGGGCAATGGGCCTACTTGTGCTGCCAAGCACAATTTCATGCCTGGCCAAACATAAACTATGCCTGGTCAAATGTCTTGGGACTTAGATGCTCACCTTTAATCTGCCATTCACTCTTTCTGCCTTGTTTAGAAAGAGCTACAATCTCTGTGCAGCTTGCAGGAAAGCCTTACACTGACAATTCCAGATTTTCAGGTAGTATGAAGATGGCAAAAATACTACAACAGCCTTTTCCCACAGTTTTCTCTGCCGTACATATTCTTTTCTGGGAAAATGTATTCTAATGGTGTCATATGACACATACATTACAAATACAAATTGAGAGCACTACACTGGAAGACTGTTAGAGGCTATTTGCAGTGCTCTGTATGATAGGGATGAAGGCAGGAAGGCAAAGTTCATGTGCTCAGTGTCCTCAGGGTGGGACTAGAGAATGTTCTAGTAGTTTTTTAAAAGTTAACCCTCTTTTTCTACCCATTAATGTACATTAGCCTTCACGTTTTCCCAATACTTTTTGCTTTAACAGTGACAGCAAATAGTTTAAATCAATGCTCCAGCAACCTGACTGCTCTCTTGCTCAGGTTTTATGGGGAAGGTGGGCCAATCCCAGTAGTAATGTCATGGTGTCTTTAGCAGTATTACATAAAATTGTCCTCAAGGAATGGAAATGCACAGTGATGCTGAGCAGAGCATTCCTCTATCTGCCCAGTACCAAAGAACAAAAATGACTGGCTTTGGGCCAGTAAATCCAACCAAAACAAGATTTCATGGAGAAAGATGAAAAATAAGAAGATAAATGTTTGCTAAACACTGATGCTTGGGAGAACAGTGATATATAACTACTAAAGCAGTGAAGCCTAAAACTAATATAACTTTGCTTTTCAGTCATCCCTGAGATGATAATGCCCTGGCACCTCTTGTCATCCCAGCTGTGTGTGCTGGGGTGGTGTCAGACCATGTCATCCAGCCTGTAAAGTGGATGCAATACATAATTCCTCTTCTTACTGATCATCCTTAATATTTTAAGCCAACTATAATTTCTGAAAGATACCATATGACAGGGAGCTAAATGTTATAGTGCCGCTGCACTAAAAGGCTCTTTTCAGGAATATTTTGACTGATTGATTATGATCCCCAGCTGAGGGACAGCCTCCTGGGAAATGTCTTGTTACTCTTCCTTTCTTACTTCAAGTGAGTCTCTTTTCCATATCTTCCTTCCAGGAAAGAACAACTTCACAGAACAAAATTGGTGAAATGGTGGCACCCGATGGCTGGTCTCAGATGGCAAATGCCAGCTCATGCACCCTGACTGTTGTCACTGGCCTTTGCTTTTTGGCCCAAACCAGAAACAAACAGTATTGTGAAACATCAGGGACCTTTGAAACAAAGGAAACATCTTTCACCACACACACAGCACTGTCTTCTGTACCAGATCTGCCTCCCTCCCCACAAATGCAACATTCACTCCTGAGAATCTAAGTCTGGAGAGAGTTTGGGTTTTTCATTTAGTTTGATGCTTTTGAGACAGCATTATTTACCAGAGATGCATCTGCACATAATAGCTTGGGCCATTTGGGGTAAAAGTGAGAAGTGTGTCCTGGAGGGAATGTAACTCTGTGCTGGGATAGGAATAGGGGTGATGGTGGTTTTCTTCACAGAGAAACAACAATGAGAAGGAATGAACAGGGTAATAATTGACTTTCTTGGCACTTTCCTACAAGAGTCACATATTCCACATTTAAAAGCCCTGGGAGGCCTTTCTTCTGGTTTGTTTTTTTGTTTGTTTGTTTTTGTTTGTTTGTTTGTTAGTTTGTTTTGAATGTGAAATGTGGCTGTAATGAACACTGAGTCTTCCACAGAAAACAGCTGGACAGCAGCAGCTCATTTTGGAAAGCACATCCCCTCCTTTTTCCTTGCTCAGCTGGCTCCAGGGTCTGCTTTTCAGCCCAGAGAGAGCATCCCCCTGCCCAGAGGCACCCCTGCTCCTTACCTACCCTGGAGCCACCTCTCCACTTGCACAGCTGTTGGGGCAGGGTTGAACCATGGCCTTGCCATAACGGGGTTAACCTTAAACTGGTTTGCTCAAGAGCCAGCAGCTGGAGAGGAAGCTGGCTGTGCGCCTGCCACTCACTCACAGGATGCCAGGCTGCAGGATCTGAGTGTCCCAGGAGAGGCTGTGACAAAAGGCAGACCATTGTGCCCAGCTTTCCTCCATGACTTCAAGCAAGTTTGCTTTTATTAGAAAACGGAAACCAAGCACCTTATCTAAACCCAGGGACAGGCAGCTGGGGCCCAAGGAAAGGCAGTTGCTGGGGCCTGAGGAAAGGCATTAAATAATGAGATTGAAAACCTCCGTATACATTTAGATAATGTACTTGGGAAAACACCACAGCTGCCTTGCATGAGGTGCTTGGATGAGAGACGTATATGCGGTAGAGGGAAATTTATGATGCACAAAATCTCTTGCTGAGGCTTTAGTGCCTCAAATCCTGCACTCCAGGAGTGCAGTTTTAGAAGTCTCAGACCTAGCTTGCAAAAGTTGAAATCCTCTTTGTATCTCTCCCACTCAGTCAATCCTTCTAATAATGTAAGTCCCTCAGTACTGATGCCCTTCCGTGCTGCTGGGAGGGGGAATGTAGCTCACAGACCCATGGGTGGGGGGTATCATTACAGAGCTCCCTGCTTGCACCATGTCCCCAGGACATGGGAGGGGAGCTCCAAAGTGTTCATGTGTTCTGCAAACCTAATGAGAACTCAGATGATATTTTATTTCTCCTTCTCCATAGAAAATACAGGGAGTCACCAAGCTGAAGGTTTGTGGGAATTGTCATGAGATGTATGGAAGAATGATGCAGGATAGAAATTTTGCTCAGGATTTCCTGCTTCAGGCTCTCAATTTATACCTGATATTTCAAAGCCCTTTTTAGAAAAACACCTTATCTTGACTGTGGAGGTCTTCCTTAGAAAAATTTTCATTTGATGATTGTGAATTAAAGGTGCACTCTGTGCTTCTTTATCCATTAGAACTTTTCCCTTGGCCTGTCACATGCACTTGCTGCTTACCCAGGCTGAAATTTATACTGGTGCAACCCAAAGCAAAGGAAACAAAAGAGACTCACTTCTGATGTCATAAGCTCTGCTGCCAGAAAAAAATAATGTTCAAGGCTATGCCATGTCCACATTTATCATTTTAGTAGGTCATAAACACATCTCTGTAAAGTTTAGATTAAATCCTGTGAAGGGCAACTTAAAGGATAAATTGAATTAAATAAAATCAGATTTCTACAGCTTTAGGTTGCTGAATGCTTCTCTCAGTCTCCCCTGCAGGTGCTGGATGTAACGCTTTGGATCCTTCGTGGAGTTAACTCTGTGGTGATCCATGCCCATCAATGGGATGATGCTGGTTAACACCAGATGAGGATCTCATCTATAGCTCTGTCTGTCCACTTCACATTTGGTTTCATGCTGCAGTCAGACTGTAACAGATTTCTTAAAATGCATTTAAACACACAAGAAAATGGACTAGAGCATGGTGGCACTTTCCCCAAGTCAAGGAGAACTTGGAACCTCCCTGCACATGGCATATCCAATCCAGATGTGTCTGTACATGTGGAGATGTGATGGCATGAACATCTTCAGTCCAACAGGAGTTTTGCAAGGCAGTCCTTGACTGAGGAAAATCTGCTGAAAGGCCACAGGGGCCATGGGGGCCACCTGGAGGGGAGAGCATTCCATGTGCTGTGTGTCCTGGCCATGGGGTTTGGTTACCCAGTGTTTTCCTCCCCAAGCAGGTTGTGGTTTCTGGCCTTGGGTCACAACGTCATGACCTTGTGTCATGCCAGCTCAGCCAGCTGGTTTGTGGGGGAGGAAATAAAACTTGGGTTTTATCCACATCCCTGCCCAAGCTCTGCCCCTTGGTTGCTCATGGGCACTAATTATGAGGGAGGCTCTTGCTCTGCTGCTGTATAATTATGCAGAGCATAATCCAAGGCTTAATATAGGGCTGAGGCCTTAATATAGCTCTGAGTGAATTGCTTTTGGTTGTCTGCTGTTCTTTGAAAATATATTTAATCTTGTACCAAACAGTGGAGCAGCCTCCTAGCAACAGAATCCATATGGAACATGAAGAGGACGGCATGCCTGGCTGGAGCTGCTGCCCAGAAGTTCTTACAGGATGTTGGTGTCTTCATGCATTTCTTGTCTTTGGGTTCTGAGCTTTGGGTTCAAGAAACTACTCCTTTCTCTACAGCAGTCAAAATTTTGCATTTGCATTGGAGCAAGGTGAGTTAGCAGATTTTGGATCATGTGTAGAGGCAGTGTAGGAGGAGGCAGGATGCTGACTTTGGTCCTGTGTTAGAAGCAGCTGCAGATTACTGGAACATCAATTTCAGTGAAGAGTGTGCCACCCTTCCCTCCATCAGAGCTCTCCTGTGTATGGTGCACTTGCTGAAAAATCGCCGCTCTCCTGGCGCGGCCCAGCCCCCGGAGCGCCAGGATGGCCAGGACGTGCTCCTTCCTGCAGAAACCAAACAAGACCTGGTTCAGATCTGGCCAGCAAAACCAGCCCAGAGGTGAGCAACCAACAGCTGTGCTGGAGACAGAGCAAGGCTACAGCAAAGTTCCAGGGTTTGATCCCTCACCACACTGGAGGAGCCACCAGGATGGAAGTCTGCAGCCTCTGGAGGTACCAAACCAGAGAGCAGCAGCTCCTGCCACAGCACACTGGTAGGACAGCCTCCTGCTGCTGGTGCTGCAGGGAATTTCCTCCTCTCCACACCCGTGCTGCCCTTTGCGTGTTTTCCAGAGAGGCTGTGGGCCTTTTGTCTAATGATTATTTTGAGATGAGTAATGGAAGTGCTAATATTTAGGAAGCTGATAGGCACTAATTAGATTAAAGCTGGAAAGCCAACTTGAAAACATACCCTGTTCCAGTAATCTCAGTGTATACAAATTCAGCAACATCCCTGAGAGCTCAGGGGAAAAATTAACAGGGATCTGAACAGGAAACAATGCAGGTCCAGCAGGTTCCACCTCATTTTCCGAACTTCATTGTTAAAATAATGTTACTCAATAATGGAAAAGCAGAAATTAAATAAACCAAGAGGACAAGCCTTAAAACCTGGCTTGGGTCTGAGGCTAATGATGAAAAAGTACCACAAATCACAGCCTTGTAAATGGCTTTTCTGACTGGAAAATGGTTTTCAAATGACCGTCATTGATGACTAGCCATCATTTACCTTCCACATCCTTCCCAGAACAGGCACTGCCTCTTTTTCATCTTAATCTGGTCACTGGGATTAAACCTTTATTGGGGTTTATTTATTTGTTTGGTTTTATTTGTTTTTTTGTTTGTAGGGATTTTTTTTTTTTTTTTGTAAAATAGGTATGTTCACCTAGGAGATTACTCAGGAACAATTGTTCCTTTGTATGTCCCCGTCTTGAATTCCCCCACACAGATAAACCTGCAGAATATCTGAACCACCCAAGTTAAATCTAGTTATGAAAAATTTTGAACCTCAGTTTTGGGGAGAGGTGAATATATTTAATCTTTTTTTCTCAAAGTTTGAGGGTCCACTTTAGTATTAGCAATTAGTTAAATCTTACAGATTATTTTGATTGTATAAATGTCATCCAGTGCTAAAACTTTTCGTGTTCTTTGGGGCTTTTTTTCTGAAATTACTCTCATGAAATGGAATTTATTGCAATCTACACTACTGATATTCATTCTCAGTGGTTGAAAGAAGAGCTGCAGAAGAGAAGGTAACTTCTGATTTGCAGCTGCTGAGCTATGCATGGAGCTAGTCACTTTCTTTACTTTTCCAGGAGTTTTAAATTTTCCAGATGCAGCCTTGGAACAGAAAATGGAAAGTACAAAAGAAAGAATTTGTAATTTATTCCAAAATTTAATGGTTGTGTTGAGGCCATTTCAGAAATTGCAGCTGAACTGTGTCAATGGCTGCCAGACTTTGAGCTCTGGGCCTGGGAACAGAGGAAAAACTATTTGCTCCAAATCTGGAGCCTGCAAATTGGCAAACAGGGCTGATACTGGTGATGCAGTGAGATGCAAACTGGAGCTTCACTGTGAAATAAGGTTCATTTAGACCAATAAAATAGAATTCAGTGATAGGATGCATGGGAATGGTTCAAAACTCTGTCAGGGGAGCTCTAGACTTCACGTTATAAAGCATTTTTTAATGAGATGCTGAAGCAGGCTTCCTAGAGAGGTAGTTCATGTCCCAAGCCTGTTAGTGCTCAAGAGGCATTTGGATAATTTACATTAACAGACCTTTAATAATTTACATTAACTTTTGGTCAGGCCTGAAGTGATCAGGAAGTTGGACTGGATTATCACTGTAAATCCCTTCCTAATAGCCTGAAATAGTTCCATTCCATTCCATTCCATTCCATTCCATTCCATTCCATTCCAAAATAAAAAGGCTTTGAAGGTAAGTTGTGTGCATTATATGATACAGCACACAGGGGGGGAAAAAGAAAAGGAATGCAGCCATAAAGAGAGAAAAATGACCTAAGATTCCCACTGTTGCTGGCATTCTGATCCCTAATGTGTGGCCACCAACAAAGAGAAGCTGAAGAGCTTGGCCAGGCACAGGAAGAGCTGGTGCTGTATGGGATGGAGCCAGCAGTTCTGGCATCTGCTACTTCATGTACCTGATATCTGGATAGTCCAGGCATAGCTCCTTGACATATGCCTTGATTTTGTCTTTTTTCTTCTCCCCAATGATACTGGCAATGTGATCTATGACGGGGAGGAGCCAGTCAGCATGGGAGCCCTGTGGACAAAGAATCACATGGGGACATCAGGAACAGCAGCACCTGCTAAATGCCTTTTTCCCTGCGGGGAGAGCAGGGCAGTGGGATGTACTGGAGTGAGCCAGGACTGGTGCAAGCAGGACAGACTGCCTCAGGCAGGCAGCAGGGTGCTGGGTGGCAATGGCAAGACACCCCTGGGAGTTCTGTCAGGCCTGATTCTGCACTTCTCGATGCCCACGAGACCCATGCAAGCCAGACCCTGAGCAGGGCATTGTGGCTGTGGTCCAGCATAGTAGCAGATGCCAGAGACTTCACCTCCTACTGCCTGATAGTTTCATGTGCCTCATTCTAAGATGGGATTTAGTGCCCTGGATGCCTGACTTTCCACAAAATCCAATTAATTCAACTTTGACTTCCCTGAAAATCCCAGGCTGTTGCTGTGAGAGATGGAAATGTTAAAGGTTAATGACTCAGCCAACTGCAATCATTGTTTTTGACCAACACACCCCTAAACTACAACAATCAAGTCTTGTTGCTGGACCTACAGGTAATGATACCTTTCCTCTCTGCTATCTGCTTTTATCCTTTCTTCCTTTTCCTTATCTATTTTCTTAAGTTATATTTTTTTACTTTTATATTGCTGTATTACTGTAGGTAATTACCAAAATGGCTACATACCTCCTTTCCATTGTAATCAAATTGTTTTTAAATAAACCAGCCATATATATATACACACACACATCTGTCTCTCTCTCTACATCTATATATCTCACACCATTCATTCAGTGTTGGTGCCACTCTCATCTGGCCCAAGGGATCTATTAACAGGAACCTCAGTTACCCCACCTTCAGGGTTGGGTTGTAACAGCTGTCCAGTCACAAAACACTCAAACTGCCACCACTTTCTCCTCACACCCTGCTGTACACAGGCTGTGTACCCAGATGGAACTTCTCCTGGGACTCAACTCCATGAGCTGTATCCACAGCAGGGATCTTTTGGTGACAAATTGCATCTCATGGCCTGAGGGAGCAGGCCCAGGAAGAAGCTGCCACAGGATGAGTGTGATCCTACAGCACATGAACCACTCTATGCAAAGCTCCCTGGGAACACATTAAAACACCAGGTGCTGCCATCAGAGAGCTGCTGGCTGAACATGCACAAGCTTCCAATGCAGAGAGGCCACCAGCTGGAAACCCACACCATGAACCTGCAGTAACCACCCTGCTCACTCTCTTTTCAGCACTTCTATATTTCTTGAGGCTTGTCCTCCTCAAGAGCCTGCTGCCTGCTCTCTGTGAAGCCAAGTGGGAAAATTGCACCTCTGGGAGTGGGGCAGCCAGGGGATGCCATGAGATAACTCCTGTACCTGATCAATGAGTGAACTGTGAATGATTGCAGCTTCCAGGCTCATCTTTCTGCTCACTTGCTGACGTGTCTCCCTGTTCATTTTCCATCTGGGTTTGATGATCTGTGTGACATATTCCTTCACCACATATTTATGAACTTCATGTAGAAGCTCCTGTTTAAAAAGATGCAAACCTCATGGAGTTTTTTGTCTGTTCAAGGCCAAGGCAGTGAGAGAGGTTAGGGAAAGCCCCCAGGTGTTTGGCAGCACCTGAGGGCACAGAGGAGGTACAGGAAGGCAGCACACCATCAGCACACACTCACTCATATCTGCAGCCCCCACAGTTATAAAGAGCAACCACTGTTGCAGAGGAGTCTGCAGATCTTACCACAGCCTGAAAATGATGGTGTGGCCCCTCAGCATTCCTGTGCCCAGGTGTGGGACTGGCTGCCTACCTGTCCCAGGGGTTCCCTCATGTGCTGCAGGTGTGCGGAGAACTGCGAGACTGCTGATGCCAGAGAGTCCGGCCTTTCCACTGCCAAAATCCAGTTCTTGGTCAGGATTTTCTTAAGGAGTGGCTGAAAAAAGACAAACTCACTGATGTCACAGGTATATTCAGAGTAGCTGATGGTGCCCTAGCTGAAGGCACCCAGCTATACACCTGATCTCAGGCTTGAACTGAAAGCACAGTGCACCCCCTCTGCATGAAGACACACGAGGAGCAGGCTGGGGTTGGGTTTCTCTCTCCACCCCAGGGAATTCACACCCATGTCTCCCCTTCCTGGGTAGGTGTCCCAGTGCAGAGAGGAGGAGCATCATGCCCTGAGCAGGAGATGTTTTGGCATTAAAGGCTCATTTGGGATACCTCATTTCCTTACTCTGTGCCACCTTCTGATCCACCAACTTTATTTCTTTAGGTAAATAAATTTGTTTCTCCAATGTATTGGGGAAGGTAGAGATGAGATTGTTATTCACAAGCAACTCTCAGGCATGACTAGAACAGTTGGTGGTGGGCAACAATGTATGCCAGTGTTACATGGAAACAAAAATTCACTTGGTATTGAATCTCTTGGAAATTAGCCCAGTAATCCATCACTCTACAGCCTTCTCCATAAGGAAATCAAGCTTTTTGTGTTCACAGTCCTTCCAGTAGGCTGTCTGTATTTCTGCACATCTGCATGAAGTCTTGCTGGGATTTTTCTTCTGCTCTTGGCTTAGATGTGGTGGTGGGGGAATGGCAGCTGGGAGCAATCTCCAGCTTTATGCCTCATGGTTAGGGATGACATGTGAGTGATGGTACTGTTATCCATCTGTCCTGGGCATAAGGTACTCTGAACAAGTATCCTTAACAGGTTATTTTCTTTTGTTGGGTCCCTAGAGCTAATGTATCTTCATATAGAAACAGCAATATCTGCTAAAGACTTCTGGCACCTGGAAGACCCTACCCTACAGGTCAAATGCAAAATATCCTTCCTCTGGCATGTCCCCTTTTCTCTTCCTCACTCTCATGATCTCTGTCTTTAGACTCCTGGCAATCTCCTTCCCAATTATCTCCTCCCTTGCTGTGCTCCCAGCCTGCTGGAGAGCTGTTTAGAAATGCTCTGACTTGGCCTCTCTCAGTTCTCACGCCATTTCAGCTCTCTTGCTCAATATGTTGGCTCAGGGCCTTTCCTCATCTAATGCTTAGGCTCCAAGACAAGTTCTGCAGTCATTGGAAAGTCCCTTTGGCCAGGAGGGCTTGGCTTAGGTTGGAGAAATTCCATGACTCTCCTGGTTTCTGGAAGTTATGTTTGGGGATTTAGAAAGTGAATTAGGATAAGTGAAAAGGGGTGGGACCAAAGGCTTGATTTCCCCCATCTTTTCTATAATACCAGCTGTAGCTAGTAGACCCCAACTGGCTGAGAGCAGAAAGGCTCATCTACAGCACCTGAGAAGTACAAACTTCATTGCAGCACATTGCCTTTTAGACCTCTTAACAGAAGTCAAATTTTATCAGAATTTTATCAATTGATACAAGACTTTAGCCTTCTCATTCTAGAACAATCAGTCTTTTGTCACCATGGGAACAGCCTGGAAAAACTACCCCTACCAGAATGAATTCTGTCCTATCTGAAGAGGTTTCTGAGAGACTGTGATGGCAGGTCTATGAATCAGTAAGTCAAAGTTTTGAAAAATCCAAATTATTTGATAGAAGGAAAAGTGTCCCATTGGTGGTGTTCAGCTGGCTTCTCCAGTTCTTCACTTCAGATAAAATTTTCCCCACTGCTTTGCCTGAGAGACTGGAAGCTGCTAAGTATCCTTTTCTTTTGATTGCTATTAAAACTTGAAAAGTATCATTGCTCATAGCAAAAAATTCCCAGGATGCTGGAAGTGTTGCTTTTTAAGGGGGATTTCCACAGGTGTTGAATGCATTTTGGAGGGACAATAATGTCATGTGCTGCAAAATGAGGTTCAGTTGGTGAGACAAGGGAAGAGCAATGACCCTCAGCTGCTGCACATAACCCTTATAATGAGGAAATAATGTGGCCAAGATCCTCTTACCTGTGTTTTTGTTCTTAATTTTGTTAAAAAAATATTTGTGAAGTTCCTTGTCAGAGCTGCCAAAATCTTCTGCAGTTCCTCAGTATTGACTTTAAATGCTGTTTCCAACCCTGACCTACAGAGAGACAGAGATCACCAATGAGTTAATGTTAAAATGTAAACTATTACATGGCCCTAAGCATGTTATCTGGATTGGCATGTTGGACATTATTTTTAAATAAACTTGAGTTTCTACTACTTCCTCTTGGAAACACTTACTGAGCCAAAGTAATGGCTCTTTTTGCACAATCCTGTACACTGAATATTAATCATAGATGAATAACTGTGGTTAAAAACCCCTTCAGATTTCCTCATCAGGTGGGCTAGTGCAGCCATGCATAGGCCAGTTCTTTTTCACTCAAGCAGCATCTCTGCAGAATTATTTCCAGGTACCTGGGAGAGAACTGAGGGCTGTGGGGGAAAAGTAAATATTAAAGCCAGAGAAGGGAAAGCTGCTGATCCTGTGTCCCTCAGAGCCTGTCTGATTCACTCCACACAATGTCTATCAGCAGCAACTGAGATGGTAACTACGGGGATGGAAACCTGTGGAATTTCCTAAGGACAGTGCATACTTCTGCAACATTTCACCTTATGAGAAAGAAAACTTCTGAGAGGCTAATGAAATTCCCAGTGTGTGTACGTGCGCTTTAGGGGCATTGTGACCTTCTAGATTTCTTTTCACTTTCCATCCCTGTCCCATGCCATCCCTTTCCATCCCTGTAACATGCTCAGCGTTGGTGAGGAGGGGAACTGAGGCAGCACCATCACAAAGACAAGCATCACCAGTGATACCTGAGCATCCTTGGATGTGCCACATCCGCTGCTGTAAACACAGAGAACAGCAGGTTCCTGTCACTGCCCAGATTTGTATGTCTGAGGCTGCCCTGGCAGGACTATAAGACACCCAACACCATCCCTGTCATCCCAGGCTGGAGCTCAGGACTGTAACTCCAGTTGAACACCTGAAAACTGGGTCCAGCATCCCAAAAAATCGTGCTGTTAGGACACCTACCTCTGCTCCACAGCTCATCAGCCCAGGGTGCTGAATGTTTAATTTGACTCAGGAATAAACCCATCACCCAAACACTTCCAGCTCCCTGCCCGGGGCTGGCGTCTCCCTTCACCCCCTCTCCATTGCCCAGCAGGGAAGGGGCAGCAATGTCCCGCAGGGGCGGCAGGAGGCAGGGAAAGCCTTTCCTCGGCGAGCTGAGCATTGCTGGAGAGACCGTGCCATCTAGAGCCTCCCTGGCGGTAGTGCTCGCTGCGGCTGGAGCCGCCGGCTCCTGCGAGACACAGCACGAAATCCCCTCCATCCCCCCAATAATATTTGGTATATGCATCCCTGCCGGAGCGGTGCAGCAGCAGGGGCTGGAAATCACACCCCCATCTTTCTGGTAGCAGAGCCCACGCACTAATCCTGTGGTGTTTTGCCGGGTTGACGAACAAAAGCACCACATCTGTATGGCAGGTATGTCCCCAGATGCTGATGAGTCCCTGGACCTCAGCACGGGGCTGATGGACCAGACCCTGGGACATGCACCCACTGGCACCATCCTACTTATGGGGTGAGTGGTAGATTTTGACAGCTTGAGGATACCTGTTCATCAGAGGCACTTTCCAATATGTGGCTTGAGGTAATTAATTCATGCAAAGCCCTGGAAGTTCCAGATGCCAGCAGCAAGGGCAAGCATTTATTTTTGGGTTGAGTGCTTTCATGGAGTTTCCTCAAGCCCAGTGCCAGAGGCAGCCTTGAGGCCATGTTTCTGAGTTTATTCTGCTAACCTCCACAACAACAACAACAACAACAACAACAACAACAAAAGGAAAAAAAAAATCCCCTGAGGATGAAAAAGATGCTCTGAAAATGAGTTCAAAATTCTCACGCAAGCACTGACTCCATCCATATTTCTGTCTCTTCACCCTTGTGGCTTTTATTTGCATCCCTTGGGGGAAATCCTCCCGTGAGATTAGAAGGGCTGGAGGCTGAGCACCCACCAGGGCACCTTAAGGAGAGCTTAGTCTTTCCAGGTCCTGCTACTCCCCATACCCCAGAAACACAGCAGTTTGGCTTGGTAGGAGCAGACTTACACCAGGTCATGGAAGTTGTTGATGTAGGCAACAAGATAGGGCACAAAGATGGGGCTGTCCTGGGCAGTGCTCCACGCCATGAACTCCTGCTCAAACCTGTAGGAAAATACACCAGGTAACACTAATGGTGGGGCACTGAGGATGCCTCATTTGTGTACATGGTGGTGTCAGGAGATACCCGTGGCTGGCCCAACCTGTCTCCTCTGTATGCAGACAAGTTTTCTCCAGTTGTCATAACAAGTGTGTGCAGTGGAGGGAGTAGATGGCAGATAATTTTGGGTTTAGGGTGTGCTCGCCTGAGCAGGTACACAGCACTTTTGGAGAGATGCCAGGGATGTTGGGAAGCCAAATCTCTGACTTTTCATCATGCTGAGGGATTAATTGCAGGTGTGGTACACAGGTTTATAAGTCTGAGCTTTCATTTTACTGGCTTTTGGGGCAATATATTATGTGCCTTTTGAGAACACAGGGCTGATTTTGTAAGATAAAATGTATAGGAATAGGGCAGCACACCTACCTTCCCTCCCCTCCAAAACCTCAGTGTGGTTGTTAGGTAGTTATTTTTAGTGTAGCACCAATTTCATGGGGTTGACAGCTGTTTCACAGCCCCATCCATGCTGAAGGGAGGAGGCTGTGTGCTCAGGCAGGCTTTGCCTGCTAGTCCCATTCTTTGTCAGGGTAAAGGAACCTGCTTGAGCTGGCACCAGCCACTTGCATCTCAGGATTGTTTAAGAAAAAGCTTAAGTGTCAGTGTTGCCTTATTCTGAGAGCCCTATCTGCTCCAGCTTTCATTTTACACAGTTTTGGGGAATTTTTTTTAAACAATTAAAAAAGAAAGAAAAAAATTAATTAAAAAAATAGAAAAGAGAACAGAGAAAAAGAAAAGGAGAACAAAGAAAAAAGCAAAAACATAATTTCAGCCATTTCCTTTGGGCACTGGGTAAATTTTAAGGGACTCAGGAGGCAGCCCAGCTGTGTGTTTTGCCAGGGTATAGCAGAGAGGGTCTCATCAGCCATTTTTTATGCCCATAGCCATGGGATGCCAGAGCAAACCACTCAGCAGGACTCATCACAGGATACCTAAATTATGTTTTGGGCAAACAGGCTTTTGGTCTGAGGGATCCATAAATACTGCTTGTTTATGACTGAACTGCAAGTGACCAGTATCCAATGTCAAAAGTCCTGGGTGGATGGGATCACTGCAGTGATCCTATCCCTTTCCAGATAGCAGCTACTTCCCAGACCTCTGACATTAGATTTTTGATTTCAGAGTCCTATCTGGGCCTGTTTATGCCTCCCTCCAAGTTGTTTTGCAGCTTGCTATTTACTGGGCTCATTGTGATCTCTAATTCTCCCAGGAGCAGCCTTGTGCTTGCTCAGTGCCAGTGTCTGGTCCAGTGCTTGGACCTTTCCCCTGTTTTGTTACCAGTGTGGGACTCATTTAGAAAGAAAGTGTTGCCCAGATAAGTGATGACCTTGGTATGAATTCGAGGAGCTCTGCCATGCACAACTCAAGCATTTTTGTTTCCAGGCTTCTGCTGATAGCTCCAGATAACTTCACGTGCTCCCCGATGATCTAGTAAAGGGAATGAAGAAACTCCAGTGAGTGGGACAAGCACTGGTGAAACATCCTTCACAAGGATCTCATGCAGCTTTGGCTGGTAAGAACAGTTCATTTAGCAAAGGGGCAAATAGCCAACTTGTTGCCAGGAGGTTTTCATTAATCTCTGGCAGTTTGAAAAATTATAATGCAGAATGGGCCAAGAAGCACCAAATGATTTGTGATGTAATTATCTACCCCAATGGCCTCATGCCCTTCTACTGTCTGAGTGTGAGTTAGAGGCAGTGTTGACTGGAACTCTGGGGTGTCCTGGTGAAATCCATCTCTTTTGGGGGAAATTGCTGGAATTCCCCTAAGCCAAAGCCCAAGGAGAGCTGAGCTGTCCCCGTGTATGACCCCCATGATAAGGATGACTATAAGCCCCATCCCTGAGGGCCCACACAAGCCCCTTTCTCAGGAGTGATACCAGGGCAGCACAGAGGGTCAGGCATCACCCTGAACTCTTGTTTGCAATGGAACTCCTCCAAAATTCCCATTCCCACAACCTCAGCTGCACTTCTGGACTGAGGTGTATTGCAGTCCTACTCTGGTACTTCCCATGGCTTCCTATCCATCTGCTAAATCAGTTCAGACCTGCCTTCCCTGTGATCACATAATGTGTCATATTCCTCTATGGAAAAAAAAAAAAAGTCACACCAGCAGGCAAAACTCTTTGATTTTCTTTCTTTCTCTCTCACTTTCTTTTTCTGTTAGTATTATTTAATTAAGTGACTCAACCAATTGAGTGATGAGAATTAATCCAAACCCCTCCTGCCTTTATTACCCTGTAGTCCCTAAAGCTAGTAGGAGCTTTTGTTTTTTGTACTGTTTAAATTGGAGTGGCTGTCACTGCCTACAGCCTTTCCCTAGCTTCCATAGCCCTGGGACAAAGTTGCTCTTTAAGCCAAAGGTTTTTTTCAAAGAAACCTTTTCTTTCCACCTTTTTTCCCATTCTCTTTCTTCTTCCTAATCAAAGAGGTTTAGGGACTTTAAAATCAGTTGCCTATTATGTTGCTGACACAATTGACAGCAGGTTTAATTTGCAGCTAGAAGGCAAGCGGCAGAGCTAAAAGTTGTAATAAACGGCATTTTCTGCTCTAATGTATTCTGCCAGTGTGTGACTTACATAAATTATCGCAGGAGGCGGTACCTCCACCCCAGAAGGAAAAGATCCAGTTTCCCTGGAGCCACACAGACACCCCCCCCCCCCCCCCCCCCCCC